GGGAGGGGGAGGGGAAGGGGAGACGGGAAATAGGGGAGGCTGGTTCCTCTCTCGGAGCCAACACCACTCCTCCCTTGCGACATGCAGCAGCAGCGCCTGTCAGAGCTGATGCGGGTCGGGGCTTGGATCGTCGCGCGGCGGCGTGCCTCCCTCCTCCCCTCGGCTGCTCGCAAAAGTGACCCATCGACGGCGTGGCCTCTGGTGCGGGCCCACGGCGGTCCCCCTCCTCCTCCTCCTCCTCTTCCTCCTTCCTCCTCCTCCTCCTCCTCCTCCTCATCCTCATCCTCCTCCTCCTCCTCCTCCTGCCTCCTCCTCCTCCTCCTCCGCCCTCCTCCTCCTCCTCCTCCTCCTCCTCCTCCTCCTCCTCCTCCGCTCCTCCTCCGCCTCTCCTCCTCCCCCGACCACTGGCCTGCTAGATTGGAACTTGCCCCCCCGCGGCCTCCTGAAGCTGCGCACCACGGGCCACTCTCGCCCAGGGTCACTCTTGCGTGTATAGGGTTGGGGCCTCCTAGGTGGGGTCCGGGAAGATGTGGTCGGAGGCTTGCACCGCATGGCCGATGCATCGGCGATGCATCGGCGACGTCGGCGTGGACAGAAAAATGTGGCTCCACATCGAGCCGCAGCGGCGATGCATCGGCGATGCATCGCAATCCTCTGACCCCATCTGCTCCGACCCCATCTAGGAAGCCAAGACTTGTAGCCGATCCCCTGACGTTTCTCTGGCCTGGCCGGGCGAGGTCACGTCAGAGGGACCCGCCTGCGGCCGCACTTATGCGGCTGGGTGGGCCGGTCCAGCTGGCCCACCCGGACGGCGGGGAAGCCCTACCCATCTAGAAAGAAATGCGCGGGAGGCGGGGCCCGTTGGCTGTGCGAAGGCAGAACGAAGGGCGCAAAGTATGTCGGAAGCAGATAAGCAAGTACGGTCGGACATGGTACAGTAGAACAGCCTTCAAGAACAGGAGACCCTCCGCGGGCGAAACCGAAGAGCATTCGGGGTCGAGCATCCAACAAGCACGAAGAAGATTTGGGCAACCCCTCCGGACCCACTTCGATATTTATGACTCGGTCCGACCGTAAAGCAAGCATGTCGCAGCAAGGCAGAAGCACCTGCAGTTCCACCCACGCACGTCATGGCGGGCACGGGCGGCGATTCTAGCCGAGAAAAGAATAGGAGGTGAAGGCGCTGAGCGGCAGAGGCGTGAGATCAGATAAAGCTGGGCGGAGAAAGCGCAAAGAAAGAAAGAGGGAGAGAGAGAGAGGGAGAAATAAAAAAAGATGGCAAAACCCACCCACCCATCCACCCCTCACCCACCCTCTCACGATCGGCCTCACTATAGATCTCACCATCGATCTCACCACAGGACACCACAGGACACCGACGTGACACCGACGGGACACCGACGGGACACCCGCGGGACACCGACGGGACACCGACGGGACACCACGGGACACCATCGGGACACCGTCGGGACACCAAGCGATCTCATTTTTAATCTCTATGGATATCACGATCGGTCTTACTATCGATCTCTCTCGCTCGATCCCACTATCGATCTCGGTATCGGCCTCGCGATCACTATCGATTTCACTATCGATCTCGCCACGGGACACCGATGGGACATCGACGGGACACAGACGGAACACCAACAAACGGGACACCAACGGGGCACCGACGGAACACCGACGGGACACCAACGGGACACCGACGGGACACTGACGACATAGCGACGGGAAAGGGACGGGACAGCCGCGGAACACCAACGGGACACCGACGGGACATCGATTGGACACCGACGGGACACCGACGGGACACCGTCGGGACACCACGGCGGGACAACCCGGCCACCGCTCGCCCACTGCTGGGGAGAGGCGGACAGCGACGGGACACCACGGCGGGACAACCCGGTCACCGCACGCCCACCGGAGAGGGAGGAGGGGCGGTCGACCCCCCCACCTTCAATATATGGATACGTGTGTCAATCTCTCTCTCTCTCTCCCTAGCTCTCTCGCGCACACTGCGAATCATATCGATATACATGTACACAAACGTGTATATATATATGTAAGAGAGAGAGAGAGAGAGTAGGTATGTTCTTTATATACGGTGTTGTCTGTTTTTTTCTCTCTCTCTCTCTCTCTCTCTCTTTCTCTCTAGTTGTGAGCGCCTCTCTCTCTCTCTCTTGGTCTCTCTCGCCTGTGCTTACTGGCCTAGACCACTGCTACATTGGGCAGCATTGCTCTAGCCTGTTTGCTCACCAGTCTCACCTTACTTTGCCGACTGCTTACCTTCGCCATGCGCAACTCCCGCGATGGAACGGGTCTAGACGCTATCATTCGGACCAGAAGGCCACGACTCGTAAAGTGGAACACCGAACCCCCCTCCAGGTTTGATAAGATTTGAACCACCAGTGGCACGGAATCTAGAATCTAGAAGCAGGAGCTCATCCACTACCACGTGTATAATCCACTACTGCACTATCCGTACGATGCTGATGAACTTCGAACGAGAGGGAGAGGCTGGCGGCTGGCGAGCGCCGCTGGAAAAAAACAGCGGCACAGCTTGCACCAGGAGGCGACCTACGTGTGCCTGACAGAGCGCCACATAGCTCCTGACAGACACGACGCTGCGACTCCTGCAGCCTCCGCATTCGCAGGGCCTGAAACTGCGAAACGGCCTTCTGTCGGGTCCAAGCTGGCCCGAGATACCGATTCAGACAGTTGGGGCTCCCAGCTTCATGGATGTATGACCCAAACTAGCCCCGACGTTGGGCAAGTGCCAGACGAGCCCAAACTGCGCTGAACTGCTACTCTGGAATGGTACCCGCCCTCTATCCTGGGAACCCATGGGCCAGACATAACTCGGGTCGGACGAAACAGGGGGGAGTGTAAAGGGAAGGTTGGCGAATCAGCTCAAGCAGCTGGTCTTCCTGGCACTTCATGGAGCCAGAGGCGCCAACGTCTGAAGGAAAGCGCCCGGCGGCGGGGCCGAAACCAGCTTCACGCAGCAGATCTCGCACCCCCACCCTTCCCTATCCCCCCCTTTCCGCCCGGCACGACCTTCCACGACTGGCCGACGACGGGCTGGCTGAAGCCACGCGGACGCCTGGGTCGTACCAGCTAGGGGGCCACATGCGAACCCTACCCCTGCCCCCCACCCTCCCCCTCAGATATCGTGGGGGGTTAGGGGTAGGGTTCGCATGTGGCCCCCTTTTCGCCAGGCACGACCTTCCACGACTGGCCGACGACGGGCTGGCTGAAGCCACGCGGACGCCTGGGTCGTACCAGCTAAGGGGCCACATGCGAACTCTACCCCTACCCCCCACGATTTCCGAGGCGGAGGGGGGGGTTCACTTCGCTCGGGAGCTTCCGAGCGGAGTGAACCCCACCCTCCCCCTACCAGCCCCAAGTGTGAAGCATGTGGAGCCCCAATCGTGGGGGGCAGGGGTGGGGTTCGCATGTGGCCCCCTACCAGCCCCAGGTGTGCAGCTCCGAGCGGTGAGCTGCGCCCGGACAACCAGCGGCTTCCGCCGCCCTCCGCCAGCCTGCCGCCAGCTCCCGCTGGCAGCGCCGCCCTCGCCCTCTGCCCCCGCGGGCCCGCGGCGGGGCCGGCCGCCGAGGGCGGGCTGCCGGCCCTTCGGCGCCTCGAGAAGGCGAGGGCCCCTCCGCGAGAGCTGGGGAAACTAGAAAGGTACCGATATCGGGTCGGGCGAAAGGGGGGGATAGCAAAGGGGAGGGTTGAGAATCAGCTCACGTTGCTGATTTTCCTGGCGCCTTCCGGCGCCGGAGGCGCTTATGTATCGAGGAATGGGCCCCTCGGTGGGGCCGAAACCAGCTGCATGCAGCTAATTTCGTAACCCCCCCCTTTCCCAATCCCCCCCTTTCGTCCGGCCAGACGATACCGCTGCTCCCCGGACCTCTCCCGGGGTGCGTTCTGACCGGGATCTCGAGGCGAATCCAGCGGTGGCGGCGCGAGCCTCCCAGGAAGCCAAAAGAAGGGAAAAAACGAGGGAGAGGGAAAGGGTAGAGGTAGGGGAGTGCCTCTTCCTTCTCTGAAGGGCGCCCTGTCTGACGCGGGCCCCCGCGGACCCCGGCCTGCCGGGCCCCGCCAGGCCCAGCTGCCGCGAGCCCCTCACAAGCCCATGCTCGAGCGCAGGGCGTGGCAGCGCCTGGCGCGCTGCCGCAGGGCGACGCAGAGCGCGGCATGCAGCAGGCAGACGGACGGCGCGCTCTGGCAGGGGCACGGGAGCGCAGCTGCGCAAACTGGACCGACTGGCTGGCTCGGAATGCCTCCTCCACCTCCTCCTCCCTCTCCTCCTCCTCCTTCTCCTCCTCCTCCTCCTTCTCCTCCTCCTCCTCCTCCCCCTCCTCCTCCTCCTCCTCCTCCTCCTCCCCCTCCTCCTACTCCCCCTCCTCCTACCCATCCTCGAACGCTGACCTCCCAGCGTCGCGACAAAAAATCCCACGGGGTCGTTCCTTACACGTCGGGCCTGGAGACCCTCACGCACCAATCCTGCTGGAGGAATTCCGCACGAAGGCGCGGTCGAGATCTCTGGTCATTGCCAGACAATGTTGCAATGATCACACGGCGACGGACATCCAGAAACGGTTAAGATCGATAAGGGGACGCCTCTGAGGCCACCCAAAGCTTCTGCAAAGCTTCCACCATCCTCTCGGGGTTCTGTGGGCACGCAGGGCGGCGCGAACGGCAACGAGGCGCGAAGAAAATCCGAATCCTCCTACGCATCTTCAGCCCTATTCCCTTTTCCTTCCTACTCCTCATTTTCCTTATCATGGTCCCCGTTCCAACTCCTTCCCCGTCCATCTGCCCCTTCCCCACGCCCGTCACCTCCAGCGTGTTGTCGTCCTCGACTCGTCCTCCTGAAGCTCGACTAGAGAAAGACAGCGCAGTCGGAGCAGCTTCGAACGTATAGAGCCTACTACCAGTGAGGCGTCTCCTCCCTTCTATTCCTGCACGCAGCTGCAAGAATGCTGTGAGAACCCTTGGCTGAATGACGAATCCCCTCTGAGCCTCAGTTGCGCCTCGATTCGCGAGGGGCGCTAGAGGAAGAAAGGATCTGAGGAGCACCGAACTCATTCCGAAACCAGAGTAAATCTCATCCTACATTTGTAACAATATCCTCCGTGTCACCATTGATTGAGTTCGAGAGGCTTCGTCACAGAGGCAGGTCGTCGCAGGGGACTAGCCTCCCGCGCTCACACCCACACCCCTTCCCTTCCTACGACTACCAACGCCCACGGCGCTTATGCAATGGCCTTACTTAGATGTATCAGAAACGACCCTCGAATGTTGGATCCGGCGCACCTCCAAATCGGCCCCCAGCGCTAGGTCCGTCCCAGGAACCCAAGAAAGGCACGCGAAATCTCCGCTCTCTCCTCATACGCCTCCGCCTCCGCCTCCTCACCGCCCTCCTCCTCCACGCTAGCCCCTTGTTCCTGAAGTGTGGGCGAGTCACTCTAGCGACACGGACTTGCATCCCTGGGCACGCGATGTCCCGCTTCTCGACACCGTGGTCCCGCGCCGTGGCCAGCGCCGCGAAAAAGACGGCGGAGTTGGCGACAGCGGCTTCCTGCCCTACCAAGGGGAAAGGGGAGGGGGAAGGGGGGGAGGGGGAGGAGGGGGACGGGGAGGGAAAGGGGGAGGGGCAGGGCGAAAGGGAGGGGGGGGTAGGAGGCGGAGGAAGAGGAGGACGAGGAGGAGGAGGGGGACGAGGAGGAGGAAGAGGAGGAGGAGGAGGACGAGGAGGGGGGGGAGGAGGACGAGGACGAGGAGGACGAGGAGGAGGAGAGAAGGAGGAGGGAGGTCCACCGCCATCCTTCCTCCCCCCAATCATCATAATCCTCTTCCTACACGCCACCATCATCATCACCATCACCATCACCATCAGCAATAATCAGCAACGCCACAATCACCATCACCACCATCACCACCAGTATCATGAACACCAACACCACCACCAATCACCATCTCCATCACCGTCACCATCGGAAGCATACAAATCATCAGCATCACCAGCATCATCAACATCAGTATCAGCATCATATCAGCATACGCATCATCATCATAACATCAAAACCATCATCGTCGACATCATCATCACCAGCAGCATTCTCATTATAAGCACCGCCGCTAACATCACCACAATAATCATCAGCATCAGCACCATCATCATTGTCCACCCCCTCATCACCCACCCCCTCATCACCTCTTCATTACCCGTCGCCTCCTCATCATCCTCCCTCGCTCCTTCCCCTATTATGTGCCTCCTCCTCCTCCTTTTCGTCATCATCAACAACGTGATCATCAGAATCCGCCGACCCCATTTGGGTCTCTTGGCGCGTGAAACTATCCCCCCCCAATCCCCCCCCGAGGGACCCCAAACCGGCAATTTGCCCCCCCCCCCCCCCCCCCCCCCTCCCCCCCCCCCCCCCCCCCACCCCCCCTTGGACCGGCGCGACCCCGGACCGAGCGCGCCACGGGGGAGCGGAGGGCTCCAAAACGGGAGAGGAAGGCACCAAAACGCTGCCCAGACGGTCCCAGAAGGCCACGAGTCGCCGAAATATCGCTCCTTGACGCCCACGATGACCTCCAGACGGCCTCCGAAGCTGCCCAGACGCCCCAAAAGACCCCCAAGATGCGCCCCACGAGGGCCCCAAGAAATAAAATTCGCCCCCCACTCCCTTTGTTTTTTTGGTTTCGCGCCAAAATAACACTTACCTTTTCGGCTTTCGCAACATCCAAGACGGGCAACGAAACCATCAACCTTCAATATCGCCCCCAGACGGCCGAAGGGGCCCCCAAGAGGGGTCGAAGAGGGTCTAAAAACAGGGCCCCAAGGAAACCCCAAAGACCTCCAAGAAGCCCCAAGGAAGCCCCCGGGAGGCCCCAAAACTACCTGCAAGACGACCCCGTCAGGCCTCCCACGAGATCCCATCAACCATCTGCGTGGCCGCACACCCGCAACCCAAGCAAGGTGGCGAGGTACGCCGCCTGCCATTCGAGAACCACTCGTCCGGTTTTCGGACCGACGCCTGCCGTCTATGAACGCGGGTGTTCGCATTTATTCCCCCATGCCTGCACGGCGAACACTTCGAATGTCAACCACGGACAATACACTGACCTAGTCGGCATCCCTCCAGCATCTGACATTGCCCCCGCCTCCAGAACGCACCGAAGAAACCCCACGAAGCACCACTGATATTCGGACCCCCGAACAAGCCCGTTTGGACCGACGGCCATGACAAACTGCACGGTCCAGACACCTGCACGGGGTCTCGAGATCCAGGGTGACACACAGGCTCTCCGAAATGTCAGACATCCTCCCGAAAGGCCACCAGAGCCCGGAGTACAGGCCCCCAAACCAGATCGATCCTCCTCCCCCTCCTCCGTTGACCCTCCTCCGCCTCCCCCCCATCCTCCCCCACCTCCTCCTCCTCCTCCTCCTCCTCCTCCTCCTCCTCCTCCTCCTCCTCCTCCTCCTCCTCCTCCTCCTCCTCCTCCTCCTCCGCTTTCTCATTATTGGCTTTCCTCCTTCATCGGCTTCGTCCTCCCTCTCGCTCTCACCCCCGCTGGCCCTACTCCTACGGATCGTGACACGGGCGATCGCATGGGTATCATTTGAATGCGTTGCATTTCAGGGTGCCCTTGTTTTCGTCGCGCGCGACAAGGCTACTGTCCACGGAGAAAGCCGACTTCGGCAATTTCGTCTGGCACTTGCCGCTGTATTGATAGCCACCACCACCATCACCATCACCATCACCACCACCATCTTCTCCATCACCACCGCCACCACCATGTCACCATCTCCGGGTCACCATCATCAACACCATCACCACCAGCATCATCGTCGCCATCACCCGCACCATGACCACCGCCATCACCACAACCACCGTCACGGATCATCATATAGCCTCTGCCTTGTCGCGTGTCTGGACACGTGTAATGCAACCCGCATCCGCCAACCCCTTCGGGGTCTCCAGACGTGTAAGATTCGTCCCCTGAACGGCCCCACATGCCCCCAGACCAGCTCGGGGACGGCCCCGACGAGCCCCCCAGCCCGCCCCCCAAAGAAACAAGACAACACAAATACGCCCCAGGACAGCAATACGACATCCCCAAGTCGATCAAGGGGTCGGCGGATGTGGCGTAAGCCTATAGAATCATCAGCAGCATCAGCATCAGCATGAGCAGCAACAGCAACATTACCCACATCAGCAAAAGCGCCAGCATCGTCATCATCATCATCATCATCATCATCATCATCATCATCATCATCAGCATCATCATCATCAAAATCATCGTCAGCAGCAGCAGCATCATCTTCAGCAGCATCATCGGCATAATCAGCATCATCGCCGTCATCAGCAGCAGCAGCATCAGCATCACCATCATCGTCATCGCCATCATCAGCATCATCATCCGCATGAGCATCATTATCAGCAGCATCATCCTCATCATCATCATCATCATCATCATCATCGTCATCATCGTCGTCATCGTCGTCGTCATCACCATCCTGATAAGCATGGTCATAGCCGCCATCGCCATCTCCAACCTCATCGTCTTCAGTCTCACCCTCCTACCCCTCCTACTCATTATCGTCATAGTCCTCCCTCCCCCGTTCCCCTCGTCTCATCGTCCTCGTCCTCCTCCTCCTCCTACTACTCCTCCTCCAACTCCTCCTGGTCATCATCGTCACCATAAGCATCATCATCAGCAGCATCATCACATCATCGTCCTCATGATAATAATCATGATCATCATTATTATCATCATCAGCAGCAGCAGCATCAGCATCAGCATCAGCATCATCAGCATCAGCATCAGCAACATCACCATCAGCATCAGCATCAGCATCAGCAGCAGCATCAGCATACACAGCAGCAGCCTCATCAGCATCATCATCATCATCATGATCAGCATCATAATCAACAGCATCATCAGGAACATCATGATCATCAGCATCATCACCATCATCATCAGCATCAGCATCATCAGCAGCAGCATCAGCATACACAGCAACGCAGCAGCATCGTCATCAGCATCATCATCATGATCAGCGTCATCATCATATTCATCAGGAACGTCATCATCATCATCCTCGGCATCAGAATCAGCATCATCGTCATCACTACCGACCACAGCAGCATCACCATCATTACCATTACCAGCATCATCATGATCGTCGCCCCCGCCGTCGAAATATTCATCATCATCATCACCACCACCACCACCACTAACATCAGAATCATCAGCATCATCCCCATCATGATTAACATCATCAGCAGCAGCAGCATCATCATGATCAGCATCATCAGCAGCATCGGCATCGTCATCAGCATGGAAGTCGCTATCGCCATCGTAATCATCTGAATGTCTATCATCGTCATGATCACCGTCATCATCATCAGCAGCAGCATCAGCATCATCGGCATAATCATCCTCATCATCACCATGATCGTGATCCTCACCATCATCATAATCAGCAGCAGCACCACCACCATCACCACCACCACTAACATCATCATCATCGTCATCAGCAGCAGCATCATCATCAGCATCAGCATCAGCATCAGCATCACCACCACCACCACCATCATCATGATCATCCTCATAACTATCATAACCATCATCATCAGCAGCTGCATCATCATCATCATCATCATCATCACCACCATCATCATCATCATCATCATCATCATCATCATCCGAATCATCATTATCATAAGCATCATCAGCATCAGCAGCATCATCATCAGTAACATCAGCATCCGCTGCCTCGTCCTACTCCTCCTCCTCCTCCTCCTTCGCATCCCTCCTCCTCCCTCCATCCCTCCAAGGTGGCTCAGCGGCAGCTCAGCCATCTCGGGACTGCCCCTCTTCGCGAAAGCACCCAGCCTCGCGGGGGCGCTCACGCTTATGTCCGGGCCAGAAGGCGACCTGGCGACGGCCGTGCCTGGGCGGCCGCACGCTGGGCGATAGTAGCCTTGCCCGGTAGACACCCAAGAATGGCCATTTGGGGCAGCACCGGCAAGTCGCAGACGACGCCGAGCCTCCCCAGCATCGGCTTCGTGCTGTGCAGCCACGCAGGGGGGGATGGGGGGGCCGAGCGCAAGCGCGGCGTGGATTGCAGCGTGTAGGGCGGGCTCGGCGGGCCTCGTCACAGGGCCGCCGCTCCTGGAGCGCGCGGGGCCTGCGCGCCAGCTCTTCGGCATGCCCTCTTCCATCCCCGCCACCACCACCTCACCCGACCCACGCGCACCGAGGCCGAGGTGCACCAGCTTGTGTGCCTTGCAGTGGGAGGAGGGCAGGGCGAGGCGCGCGAGCGCGCGCTGCCCTCTGCGGCTCCCTCCGCCTCTCCCTCCCTGCTCTGCCCTTGGTCGCCGCCGTCGCCAGCGGAGCGCCTGCCGAGAGGCGTCCAGAGCCCCCCCGGCCCGCTCCTCCAGCTGCCGCAGCGCTTCCCTCCGCGAGGCGGCCTCGCGCGCCGCCGCGGCCGCGGCGGCCGCGTCCTCGGCCGCGTCCGGCCAGGCGGAGCCCGTCCTGCGGGGTGCTGCCCCGCCCGAAGCAGGGCACGGCGGCAGTCTCACGGGGACCCATGAGCAACGAACGCATCCACACCCAGGCCCTCGCGGTCTGGACACAGGGGCACGATCCCGTGAACACGCGATTGCGCGGATACGCTCGGCGAAGGCATCCGCGCCAGGCCGCGCCATGGGGTCACGGCCAAAAGCTCCAGACCACGGGGCCATCTGTGTCCCGCACACAGAGCTGAAGTGTGCTTGCACAGCAGGCTTCTTGCTTACTTCCTAGACCATTGGCCTGTGCCTCTGGGACTCGTTCCGAAGTCTGCAGTGGGCGCCTCGTGGGCGCCACGTGGTGCCGGGACCGAAAGCGGATCAAATTCTGAAAAACTCGCTGTCTGAGAGCCCGCATCGATGACGACGGTAACGACGGCAACAACCGCGGCGGCGACGACGACAACGACGACGACGACGACGACGACGAAGACGACAACGACGACGACGACGACGACGACGACGACGACGACGACGACGGCGACGGTGGCAGTGGCGGCGGCGGTGGCGGCCACGTCGGCGGCGACGACGACAACGACGACGACTACGACGACGACGACGACGACGACAACGACGACGACGACGACGACGACGGCCACGGCGGCGACGGCGGTGGTGGCGGCGGCAGCGGCCACGGTGGGGAGGGGGGTTGTGCAGGGGGCGGAGGGGAAGTGCGAGGAAGGGAAAAGAAGGAGGGAGGGAGAGAGGGAGGGAGAGGACGAGGAGGAGAAGGAGGAGGAGGAGGAGGACCAGGAGGAGGAGGACGAGGAGGAGGAGAATGAGGAAGAGGAGGGGCAGGAAGAGGAGGAAGAGGAGGAGGAGGAGGACGAGGAGGAGGAGGAGGAGGAGGAGGAGGAGAAGGGGGAGAGAGAGAGAGAGGAGAAAAGGAGGAGGAAGGGGAGAGGGAGGGCACGAGGGAGAAGGAGGGCAGGGATGGCGGCGGCAGCGGCGAGGCGGGACCCTGTCCCGGGCACCGCCAGCTGCAGCTCGTCCGGCCGCACGCGCAGCAGCAGCCGCGCCCCCTGCGGGGTAGAGCACGGCGCCCAGCCGCCGCCGTCCGCGAGGCGCAGCCAGCCGTGGTAGGACTGGCGGCGGCGGCGTCGTCGTCGTCGTCGACGTCGTCGTCGTCGTCGTCGTCGTCGTCGTCGTCGTCGTCGTCGTCGTCGTCGTCGTCGTCGTCGTCGTCGTCGTCGTCGTCGTCGTCGTCGTCGTCGTCGTCGTCGTCGTCGTCGTCGTCGTCGTCGTCGTCGTCGTCGTCGTCGTCGTCATGCCCATCCTGCTCGTAGCGCTTTGGCTCAACCCATGTGAGCGAGGACTTGCGGCGGCGGCGTCGTCCGCACACGTCTCCTGCTGCCTGCCTGATGCTGCCCACAACGCCGAGCGGGCCGCTCGCGCCGCTCGGTTTGGGACGTGTCCCATTGTCCCGATTCCTTGCTCGGGCAGGGGCAGCCGCATGGACAATCGCAGTGATCGGCGTGCTGACCGTGCCATGCGTTCCGGCGTGGGCCTGAGTCAGCCCATCAAAAAAAGACGTGGGCAAGAACAACTGCATGGGCAAGGGCGAGGGGAAGGGCAAAGTCGAGGTGGGGCGGCTGCGCTTCGCATATTAGGCCTCTTTTCCTTCCTTCCTCCCCACCTGATCCTCTCTGCTAGCTTGCTGGCACAGCGGGTGGTGGACGAGGACGAGAGGATGTGGAGGAAAATGAGTATCACGCGGCAGTACGCGCAGGCTGCCGCGCGTGGCTCCGAGCTCCCTCGAACGACAGCGGAGTGCACGGCCCCTGGAGCCACTGTGATGGCCGTCCGTCTGCTCGCAGGTCAGGGTTGTCTGGCATGGCGAGTGGCGTGGTCGGGCCCCTGCAGCTTTGTCGTTGCTGCAGGGTCTCCACCACCCCCACTTTCCGTTGCTGGGCAGCCTTAGCCTTGTCTTCCGAAGCGTCGAATTATGATCCTCCTTCTCCTCCTCCTCCTCCTCCTCCTCCTCCTCCTCCTCCTCCTCCTCCTCCTCCTCCCCCTTCTCCCTCCTCCTCCTACTCCTCCTCCTCCTCCTCCTCCTCCTCCTCCTCCTCCTCCTCCTCCTCCTCTTCCTCTGAGCATATGGGGGGGGCCCTCGTCGCGACGGCCCGACGCGGCTCGGCAAGGGGGCCAAGAGGGACTCCCTCGGGGAACGGGACCACTCCTGGAGCGCGTTCTGGCCGCAGTCTCCAGCGAGGCGACGACGGCCCACGCAGGACCCGAGAGGCTGAGCGGCAAAACCGAAGGCCCCGATCAGCGGAGGCGGGGTGGGCGGGGGCCAGGGGCAACGAGAGGGGGGGATAGGCACAGGGCGGGGCGCATCGACCCCCAATCACCCATTGGTGGCCGACAGGGGTCCGACCGCCCCACCCCGCCCAGGAGCGCGCGGACTCGCTGTCGGGGGCCCATCGCCGATCTGTCGGCGACGTATCGCCGAGTCCAGGTCGACGCTTCCCCCCCTGTGCCTGTCCGCCAGTGTCGCTGCCACCCCTAAGGGGGCAGGGACGAGGGCTGGACGGCGGTGAAGACACGGCCTGTGAACGCTGGTGGTGCCCCCCCGCGTGGCAAGGCGGGCTTCCCCCACTGCGGCCTGCGGGCCGCGTGCGCTGCGCCCCCGTTTGCGAGGTAGGGCGCCTGCGCCCAAACTCAGAGGTTGGACCCGGCTTGCTTGGCCGTGGCAGACTCGAGGTGCAACACGCAGCAAACACTGAGCTCCGGAGCCGTGGCCTCGCCGGTGGATCTCGCCAGTCCCTCCTGAGCCGCGGATGGCGGCAGCTCGCCGCAGGCGGCGTCCTGGTTGGCGTCGTCGAAGCCGAAAATCTTCGGCCACGACGACTCAACGACGACGCCGCCGCCGACGACGACGCCACCGACAACGACGCCGACACCAACGCCGACGCCGACGCCGACGCCGACGCCGACGCAAACGCCAACGCCGACGCCGACGCCGACGCCGAAGCCGACACCGATGCCGACACCGACGCCGGCTCCGACACCGACGCCGACGCCGACGCCGACGCCGACACCGACACCGACGCCGACGCCGACGCCGACTCCGACGCCGAGACCGAGGCCGAGGCCGACACCGACGCCAACGACGACGCCGACGCCGACGCCGACACCGACACCGACGCCGACACGTCGACGCCGACGCCGACGACGACGCCGACGCCGCCGACGACGCGCACGACGCGCACGACGGGGCAGGGCCGGCGCCTGCGCCTCGGCCAGCACGAACTCGCCGAAGCTGCGCCGCCCCAGCGCCAAGGCGTCCTCACCCCGGCTCGTCGTCGTCGTCGTCGTCGTCGTCGTCGTCGTCGTCGTCGTCGTCGTCGTCGTCGTCGTCGTCGTCGTCGTCGTCGTCGTCGTGCGTCGTCGTCGTCGTCGTCGTCGTCGTCGTCGTCGTCGTCGTCGTCGTCGTCGTCGTCGTCGCGTCGTCCGTCGTCGTCGTCGTCGTCGTCGTCGTCGTCGTCGTCGTCGTCGTCGTCGTCGTCGTCGTCGTCGTCGTCGTCGTCGTCGTCGTCGTCGTTCGTCGCTGCGGCAGTTCGTCGCCGCCGTCGTTCGTCGTCGTCTTCAGCCATCCGTCGACCCTCGTCCCTCCTCGTCGTCGTCCATCACGCCCAAGATGGCCTCCAGGACGGCCCTGGAGCGCCCCAAGAGGGCCCCAAGTTAGCCCAGAGAGGCCCCCAAGACGCCTTCCGACGGCGTCAGGCGGGCCAGGAGCCCACCAAGACGGCCCAAGATGGCCCAAGAGGCCCCCAGGAGGTTCCAAGACGGCCCAGGAGGCCTCCAAGAGGGCCCCCAGGAAGGCCCGAAAAAGCAAAAATCATTGATCTCCCTAGGTTTTTTAAGGATTCGGGCATTTGCTTCTTTTCGGCCTCACGACGGCCCGAGACGGCACAAGAGCCCCCAAAGATCGCCTTCAAGATGGCCGCTGAACGGCCCAAGACGCCCTCAAGACGGCCCCAAGATGGCCCCAAGACGGTCCAAGAGGCCTCCAAGACGCCCAAGATGGCCTCCAAGACGGCCCTGGAACACCCCAAGAGGGCCCCAAGCCGGCCTAGAGAGGCCTCTAAGACGGCTTCCGACAGCGTCAGACGGGCCAGGAATGCCCTAAGACGGCCGAAGAGGCCCCCAGAGGCCCAAAGAGGCCCCAAGATGCCTCCAAAAGGCTCCCAGGACGCTGCCAGGCCCCAAGAGAGCCCCCAGAGGCTTCCAAGATGTCCCCTCCTCCTCGTCCTCCTACTCATCCTCCTCCTCTTCTGTTTTCTTCGTCGTCTCAGTAGTGTTGTAATTATTCTTTTTCGTCGCAGTAGTAGTATTATGATTGGTAGTTGTCTTAGTCTTGTTTTCCGTGCTAGTATGATTGTGACTGTTTTTAGTAAGATCGGTAGTACTAGTCCTACGGCTAGTAATTGGAATATGAATGTACTGTGTTCGTACTAGTACTATGCTTCGCACTCCCAGTAAATTGTATGAGTCGTCTCCTTCTTAATAGTATTACGGTTCGTATTATTAGTAGTAGTGATACGAATATGATGAATGGTATCAATATGATTAGTAGTAGCAGTAGTACTGGTGGTAGTAGTAGTAGTAGTAGTAGTAGTAGTAGTAGTAGTAGTAGTAGTAGTAGTAGTAGTAGTAGTAGTAGTAGTAGTAGTAGTAGTGGTAGTAGTTAGTAGTAGTAGTAGTAGTAGTAGTAGTAGTAGTAGTAGTAGTAGTAGTAGTAGTAGTAGTAGTAGTAGTAGTAGTAGTAGTAGTAGTAGTAGTATAGTAGTAGTAGTAGTAGTAGTAGTAGTAGTAGTAGTAGTAGTAGTAGTAGTAGTAGTAGTAGTAGTAGTAGTAGTAGTAGTAGTAGTAGTAGTAGTAGTAGTAGTAGTAGTAGTAGTAGTAGTAGTAGTAGTAGTAGTCGTAGTAGTAGTAGCAGTAGTAGTAATATGAGTACTTGGTGTATTATTAGTCTTAATAATACTAGTAATAGTATTACCAGTGGCATTAATAATAGCATTATTAATCATGAACCATGTTAACATTACCTTCTTATTCGAGTTTCTATTATGGCTCTACAACTAATAATATTGATAATTGTTTTCCTCCTCCTGATGTTTCCCGCCATCCTCCCCCAAGTCTTCCCCGAAGGGTTTCCACAACGGTTGGGTGAGCACATGGTCCGATAGCTTGGCAGATCTCTTGCCACAAAGCTCGGCCACATGGGCGATTCCAGAAGGCAGGGGGCGACGGTGATTCACCGCAGGCGTCTTCAATCTTATTGCTTCCTCCCGGTCTACCCTCTTCCCTCCTCCTCCTGCTCCTCCTCCTCCTCCTCCTCCTCTTCCTCCTCCCGCTCCCCCTCCCTCCCTCCCCGCGTCCTCCCACTCTTCTTCCCCTCCCCCCCTCCCTCCTCTCCCTCCTGCCCCCCTCCCCCCCTCCCGGTGCGCCGCGCTCGGGACCGCCGCCGCCGCCTTCCGCCGCCGCCGAGACGGCGCGGCCGGGATGCGCCACGGCAGCAGCCGGGCGCCGCGTCCTCGGCCGCCTCGCGGAGCACAGGCACGCCCTCCTCGCCGACAACCTGCCGCCGCGCGGCAGCAGCGAGAGGTCCGGGGGGAGCAGGGCGGGAGAGGCGCGCGGAAGGCCTGGGCTGCGGCCGGCTGGGCGCGGCAGGGCCCTGGCGGTCGGTCGAGGAGCTGCGAGGGAGGACAGCTGCTGGGGCAGCCCACGGTCCCATACCCCTCCTCCCGTCCTCCTCCCCCTCTCAGGCCTCCCCTCCCCTCCCCTGCAGTGCAGGGCCATGCCAAGAAACGCCCTGCTTGCCTCCATGGTGCCCTGGGTTTCTTGGGCTTCGATGGTTTTGCAGTGGAAGGCGTGGCGCTCCCACACCAAGAAGACATGGACGCCTTGGGGCCTCAGGATCGGGTTTCTTGTGGAAGGTCTCTTGTGGACTGGCCTCCACTGTAGCTCCTCTCCCCTCCCCCTCCTTCGGGAGCGGCCAAGAGCGGGGTGTCCAAGACGGGGGGTGCAAATCATGACCGGCGGCATGTGCGCGGCCCAGCGGGGGGCCAGGGACGTAGTGGAATAAGAAGAGGCGCCATGAGATCTGGGGAAATCTCATGGCCCCCGCCATGATATCCACCCCCCCCTAGTCATCACCCCCCTCTTTTCCGCTCCCTCCCTCCCCTCCTCCCCAGACAGGGGCGCCTCGAACATCTGCAGGCCGGGGGCCGGTGAGAGCTCGGGCTCGGCGAGGGCCGCACGCAGGTCGCCGAGGGGCAGCAGCGCGGGGCCTCCCTGGGCCGTCGTCGTCGTCGTCGTCGTCGTCGTCGACGGCGTCGTCGTCGTCGTCCTCGGTCGTCGTCGTCGTCGTCGTCGTCGTCGGCGGCGGCGGCGGCAGCGGCGGCGTCGTCGTCGTCGGCGGCGGCGTCGTCGTCGGTTCGTCGTCTTCGTCGTCGGAGTCGGATGTCCCTGAAATCCGGGCGTCGTAATTTTTTCACGCCGGGCACTTTTGCCCCGTTTCGAGCCTGAGACCATCACGGGTCGATCCAGCTCGGAAAATGCCGCAGGAAGATGGGGTCCAGGACTCTGGTCCAAAAAGGTTTCACCATGCCGCGCCTTTCCCGCAACGTCGGATCTCAGAAGGAGGAGCGAGTAAGGAGGAGGCAAAAGGGATGGAGGGAGAGGAGGGAGAGAGGGAAGGAGGAAGGGAGGGAGAGGGAGGAAGGAAGGAGGAGGCAGAGCATCCACCGCGGAGGTCTGATCCACCCAGCCCCTGGTGCCGATTGGCCTGCAGGATCTTCACTCTGGGCGGGAGGCCCACCGCCAGCCGGGCCGCCATCGCAACCAGAAGGAGGGGACGGAGGAAGAGGAGGAGGAGAAAGCAGCAGGGGAAGGAGGAGGAAAGAGAGTAGGAGCAGGAGGAAGAGGGCGGATTTTGACTGGGGGGGCTTCAGAGGGCCTCCAGGGCCTCTGTGGGTAGGGGGATGACACGTCGTCACGGCGGGATCGGCGTCGAAACCCTGATTAGACCACACTCCAGGTAGAGGTCCTGGGGCCGATGCCTGAGGACGAGGAGGAAGAGAAGGATGAGGAGGACAAGGCAGAGGAGGAGGAGGAGGAGGAGGAGGAGGTGAAGGAGAGTGAGAAAAACCGTCGGCATCGGCGTCGGCATCAACAGTCGTCGTGATCGTTGGAGGGGGAGGAGGAGGAGGAGGAGGAGGAGGAGGAGGAGGAGGAGGAGGAGGAGGAGGACGACGACGACGAAGAGAAGGAGGAGGGGAAGGAGTAGGAGGAGGAGGAGGAGGAGGAGGAGGGGGAGGAGGAGGAGGAGAAGGATGAGGGGGAGGAGGTGTCGGTGGAAGTCAGGAAAGCTTGCTGCACCGATAAAAAGAGCCCCCGAAGTTCTTTAGCATCCAGGCTGTCTGCATGTGCTGCGAATTCTGGGCGACCTGCAGTGGCTCTGAACCATTCCACGCAACAGCGCTCGAGGGCACTACCAGCTAAAGATACTGGGTCTGGGGTCTCCGAAATCAGCCACCAAATATTCGCGCGTGCCCCTCTAAGCTGCTGGCCCGCAACGAATCTGGACATTGAACGGAGCTCGTCGATGTCCGTAGGCTTGTAAGCATGGACCTTGCCACCGTAGGTGAGCACTGGCCCTCGTCCTCAAGCGCGCCAGCCAAAGCGAAATACACCAGCCCATCCACAGCGAAAAGAGGCCCCTTCCCTTTGATCCCTTCCCCGCGGGGGGGGGTCCCGGAGGGTGGTCCCGGGTCAGCATACCACCCTCCAGGCCCGCCCTCTTCCTCCAATTTCCATCGAGGGGCGAGGCCTCACGGGTCGGCGGCACTGGTCGTAAGGCCTTCGCAATACCTCTTCGTACTTCTCAGAGCTAGCAGGATGCAGGGCGATTCATTGCCAACGCCTGAATGGTAGGCCCGCGGGGTGCCCGTCGTTAAGGAGACATGTCCAGTAGTGCCGTTGTGACCAGGAATGCTTGCAGGGACCTATGAGGAGGTGACTTGGGACAGGGTGTACTGCAGCATCGTTGGTGCATCATGTACTTACTCTGGTGCTCCTCCTCCCTCTCGTCCGTCTCCTCTTCCCGGGTCTTCTTTATCTTACGCATCGCTTCTCGCCCCTCGCCCCTCGCTCTTCGCCGTCACTCATGATACGCCTCCCCGGTCCTTCTCGTCTCCATCCTCCTCCTGCTCCTCCTGCTGCTGCTCGACTGCTCGCGGGCTCCCCGTCGGCGTTGCAGAGAGAAAAAGAGGGGAGAGAGAGACAGAGAGAGAAAAAGAGAGAGAGAGAGAGAGAAAACAAAAAATAGGGGAGAAAGAGAGAGAAGAGAGAGCGATGATGGGGAGACATACAAAAAAAGACAGTAACAAACATTGAAAACAGAGTTCCTCTGCCATGCGGTCGAAGTCCAAGGCCTGATCTCGACCTGCGGCCTCTGGAGAGCAATGTCGGCTGCCTCGAGGCAGCATCCCGTCTTGCACGCTGACGATGCGTGAGAAGCGGCGTCCCAAAAGTTCGGGGAGGACGAGGAAGGGGGACGGCACGGACGGGGGCCGCCCACAACTATAGCAAGAAACGAACAGAAGGGAGAAGTAAGAGGCATGAGGAGGGGAACGGAAAAATGCAAAGCCTAGTCAAGGCATGTCCCGCTCACCACCCGGAAGACAAGCTCGAACTCGACGAGCTGCGGCAAGACATGCTTCCAGAACAGAGCTGCCTCCGTCTGGCGATGCGCGCAGCCACCGGGACATCCCGACGCCACCACCGCTCAGGGCCCAAACGGCGTCGACTCGTTCAGACACGTACACCGCTCGTGAACAAGCAGCATGCTCCCCGAACAGTGTTTGCACTGATGGGGGCCTTGCCCTATTCTGTAGGACTCTGGGTCTGACCAGCGCACGTCTGCCACTGGCCGCCTAGATTCCCATGAACTCCCACTGCTGTCCCAAAATTACCCTCGTCGCGGCATTTGTTATACGGTGAAGGCATTGGATAAAGAACCAGTGGATAAGGAACCCAGAGTCTGGAAGCCGTTTGAACTTGAATCGTGGATTGGCCATGGATATCACCACCGCCTTCATCAGATAAGGAGTCCTTCAGAGTCTGAAGCCTCCTGGGCACATTCCTTAACCAACGCCCCAACCGTAGCGCGATACCAGAGCAAATCGTAAGGACGCCCAGGAGAGCGCGCGAGCCCGAAGTAACTTCTGAAGAAGTCAGTGGCAACAGCGCGAGTTCCCAGTAGATTGAATCGCAGGAAGTCCCAAGAGAGATCGCGATGTCATGTGCGGCGAGACCACAACTCTTAGCAAATCAAAAGGGAGCCTCTCGGGAGAGCGCGCTTCTCGAGTATCGCAATAAATTCCGAGCGAGAGCGCGATTCTGGAATAATATTTGGGGGGTTCTCGGGCGGGAGCCATTGTTGATGTAGGCTTGGAGCAACATCGCAGTTTGAGCCTGAATATTCTCCTCTCCAGAAAGCAAAGAAAGAGATCCACACGGGGGCACCTCAATGAAAAAACATGGGCCCTGCTGAAGGGGAGTTAACCTCCACTATTCCTCCGAAGCGCGAGTTAAACAAGCCTAGCCCTCCTACTCCTCCTGTCCTAACCCTCCTCCTTCTCCTCCTCCTCCTCCTCCTTCTCCTCCTCCTCCTCCTCCTACCCCTCCTCCTCCTCCTCCTCCTCCTCCTCCTCCTCCTCCCTCTCCTCCTCCCCTCCTCCTCCTCCTCTCCTCCTCCTCCTCCTCCTCCTTCCCCTCCCTCCCTCCCCCGAACGCGATAGTGAGGTGGAACATAGCCAGGTGCTTCGCACTGAGCACCTCATCATTGCAGTCATCCGCCATCCCCCGTTCTGGGTTACGAGGTCGGTATCCTCATTAATCGAAGAAGCACCCCACAAGTTGGCTGGTAAAGGGAGCCACGTGTGCCCTAACTGACAGCCGTGACTATCCCCCGATCCTCCCTCACTCCCTTGGACTAGGAAAAAGGCGGCACCCTTCCACCTGTGGCACCACGGGGCTCAGCGTAATACCAGGAAATCTGGCGTGGGCTGTTGCGTGGTATACGCTACGGCCCCCGATGGGCCGTAGCGCAACATGGAGGGCCGTAGGTGGGGTGGTGTCGTTTGCCATTTTGGTCGATCCCTCCCTCCTCGTGCTCCTCCTCCTGCTCCTCCTCCTCCTCCTTCTCCTCCTTCTCCGTCCCCCCATCACCGTGCCCCCTCCCCTTATGCCCGCCGTCGGCGCAGTCGCCCCGGAACACCCAGCCGGCGTCGTCGGCAAGGCGCACCCAGCCGTCGAAAGTCTCCTCGATGCCCATCAGGGTCTGGCCCGGCATGCACCCTGGCGGGGGAGGGGGCGAGAGAAGGGACGGAGGGGGAAGGAGGGAGGGTGGAGGGGAGGAGGGAGGAGAAGGGGTGAGAAGAAGGAAGACGAGGAGGAGGAAGAGCAGCAGGAGGGAGGGAGGAGGTAGAGAGCAGGGACGAAGGAGGATGGAGGAGAAGGAGGAAGGAAGGAAGAGAGGGAGCAAGCGAGCAAGCGAGCGGGGCGCTGATCCCGTCTGATGCGGCCAGGCGCGTGTGCCCTTGACAGTTTGGGCAAGGCGCTCGAGGCCGTAGCATTCCAAAATGTGTCAACAACATAATCACAGAAGGTCCACCACAGCTGGATCGCCGCCTGGACACATCTGGCGACGTTAGTGTCGAAGCGCCGCTGATGTCGTGGTCGCGTAGCGTCGCTGGTGTCGGCTTCTGTCTTGCCGTCGGTTGGGCCCATGCTGTGCAAGAGCTTCCGTATGTCATCGCTCCACCGTCTGTGCTGTCCGCCACGGTCCTCAACCCTGTGGTTCCACCTCAACGCTTTCGTGTCCAACACTCCGTCGGATGCCGGGCCATCCGTGCAGCCCATCGTCATCCCATCTGGCCGTGCAGTTACACGATACCTGTGATACTGCGTCGCAGCATCAACTCCTACTCCTGTGGGCGAAGTCTCACGTAGCCTCGTCTCCATCAGGGAGGCGTCGTGACCCAAGCTGTGCCCGAAAATCTGCCCGAGTGTGACCGAAACTGGCACCCGAAATTGTCCGACCGCGCCCCAGTGTGACCGGAAGGCTTGGCCCCAAAACCAAGACGGTTTACAATTTCGGTCACGCTTTCGGTCACACGACGTTTTCGGCCACAACTTCGGGCACGTTTTCGATCACCGATTTTTGTTCGGTCACCTATATTTTCGGCTAATAGGGGCGGGGTGCCATGAGAAGTCAGACCATAATCATAGTTCGTCTTGGTGTGTCGTTCGTCTAAGACTTGGAAATTATTGTCGTCGCTGCCGTCGTGCACACTGGCGTGGTCGGATTGGGCAGGTGGGTTATGGCACACATAACATCCGATGGAGGCGTCAGATAAACAGTCATGGGATGGGTCACTGCTCTTGTTGTTCGCGTCCGTGGTGGTTCTCGCCAGCTGTGGTAGCGGTCCTCTGGGGTGTGCCGATGATCATTGAAACCACTCGCCTCTGTGTTCTGTGTAGCTGCTCTTGGAATGCTTCAGTCAATGTCAACGCTTCCGCGCCGTACAACACAGTGGGAATCAACGTGCCCTGGTAGAGTCGCACTTCGTATATCAGTAAGTAGGGGTAGATCGTGAGCTCTTTCGCGCGATCAGGGTCGCAAAGACCTCTTGAAACGCGACTGCTGTCCCGAATTCCAGGGCAACAAGTCCATGTCCGCCCCATGAGCGTTCACTGTGCGTGATCAGGCTCGGGGCTGGCAACTCATGATGCCCGTCTTGTTTGGAAAAAAAATCGATGCCGCTGGCGTGGGGTCCAACTGACGTGATGAAGTCGAAGAGAGTTGTCTCGAGGTACGGCAGGGATGGGCTCGACAGTACTCTACGTCGTCTGATAACGGGAGGTTTATGAAGGCAGAGACGTCAGTGTATTCCAGCTGGGTAAATAAGCAGGGAGGGAAGAAAGAGAATGGAGGAGCAGCAGGAAAGGAGGTGGGATGACGGTCGGCTTTGGGCCAACCGCTGGGGCCTCGGGGCGGCTGCTCGGGACGACTCGGCCCCCCACTGGGGGTCCCAACACCGTGTGGTGAGAGACGCGGCGGTGACCTCGAAATCCAGAAAGACCTCACCGCAGGGTCCATCACCGCACGGTTTTGGGACACTGGAGGCCCCAGTCGCCCGAGATATCCTTAAAGACATGCGTAATTGCCAAGGCCGTGCGGTGACCCCGAGCCCCCACCGACTCACCACACGATGTGGTCACCACCCCATGTGGGGGCCCCCTATGCAAGACATCCGAGAACTCTTGCGAACCTCCGGCAACCCTCGAAGAACCCCAGTGGACCTCCGAAGACCCCCCGAAGACCCCCCGAAACCTTCACGTGATTCGAGCACCTCCGAAGACTCCCAAAAGCTGCGCGAGGGCTGCAAAGCAGCGGCGGCGGCGGCGCCGGGCCTCCTGATCATATGAAATAAATAAAAGCTTAAAAACATAAAAGACAAACATAAAAAAAGTAATACAAGTATTGGTAAAACGAATAATAATAAATCCTTGATACTAATACTCCTAATATTATCATAAGCCTATATTAATACTACTACTATATACTAATATATACTCCACAACAGACATCATCATGTAATAATACCAAAATACATCCTCCGAACTACTACTCCTACTCACTCCTACTACTGTTCCCTCATCATACCTCCTACTTTTAACATACGCTCCTACTCCTTCCTCCTACTTCCTTCCCCCCTACTCACTCCTCCTCACTCCTATCCTCCTCAGCAATTTCCTCCCACTCCTCCTCCTACCCCTCCTCTACTCCTCCTGCCTACTCTCCTCCTCCTCCTACCTCCTCCTCCTCCTCCTCCTCTCCCTCCTCCTCCTCCTCTCCTCCTCCTCCGCCTCGCCTCCGCCTCCGCCTCCGCTCCTTTCTCCTCCTCCTCCTCCTCATCCTCCTCCTCCTCCTCCTCCACTCTCCTCCTCCTCCTCCTCCTCCTCCTCCTCCTCTCCCCCTCCTCTCCCCCCCTCCTCCTCCTCTTCTCCTCCTCCTCCTCTCCCCCTTTCCCCCCTCATCCTCCTCCTCCTCTCCCTCTCTCCTCTCCTCCTCCTCCCTCCCCCTCCTCCTCATCTCTCCTCCTCCTCCTCCTCTCTCTCCTCCTTCGGCTCCTCCCTCCTCCTCCTCCTCCGCCTCAATCCCACCTCCTCCTCCTGCTCCTCCTCCTCCTCCTCACTCCTTTTCCTCCCTCCTCCGTCCCCTCCTCCTCCCTCCTCCATCCTCCTCCCCTGCCTCCCCTCCTCCTCCTCCTCCTCCTCCTCGTCCTCCTCCTCCTCCTCGTATTATTATTGTTATTGTTATGGTTATTATTATTATTATTGTTATTATTATTATTATTATTATTAGTATTATTATTATTATTATTATTATTATTATTATTAGTAGTAGTAGTATTATTATTATTGTTGATATTAGTATTATTACTATTATTAGTATTATTATTATTAGTAGTAGTAGTAGTAGTAGTATTATATTAATATTATTAGTATTATTATTATTGTAGTATTATTATTAGTAGTAGTATTATTAGTATGATTATTACTACTAGTATTATTATTATTACTATTTGTACTATTATTAATATTATGAGTATTAGTATTATTAGTAGTATTATTATTACTATTATTATCAGTAGTATTATTATTATTCATATTATTATTAGTATTAGTATTAGTATCAGTATTATTATTATTAGTATTATTACTGTTATTATTGTTAGTATTGTTAGTATGGTTGTTTGTTATTATCATCAGCATTATTAATAAAATTATTATTGTTATTACCATTATGAACAATAATAGTAGTATTGTGTTTCTTATTAGTGGTAGTAGTATTATTAGTAGTAGTATTAGTATTATTATTCGTAGTACTCGTGTTAGTATTATTCTTAATATTATTACTAGTAGTATTAGTATTAGTAATAGTATTACTATTAGTACTCCTAGTATTAATAATAATACAAATATTATTGTTAATAATAAGAAATAATATTACGACTACTATTACTATCATTATTACCATCAGTATTATTAGTAGTATTAGTATGAATAGTATTATCATTCGCATTATGATTAGTATTATTATTATTAGTATGAGTATTATTAATACTACTACTAGGATTACTAGTGTTATTGTTACTATGATCTTGGCCATTTGTATTACTATTACTATAATTGGTAGTATTAGTATTAGTAGTAGTAGTAGTAGTAGTAGTAATACTACTCGTAGTACCAGCAGCATTACTATTAGCATTCCTACCTTTAGTAATATCAGTATTCGTAATAGTATTATTAGTATTATTAGTAGCAAAATTATCAATAAAATTAAGAGTAGTATTATTAGTATTAGTATGAATATTGGTATGGGTGTTAGTATTCGTATTCATATCAATATTAGTAATAACATGATGATTATTATTGTTAGTATTCGTAGTAGTAGCCGTATTAGTAGTAGTAGTAGTAGTAGCATTAGTAATAGTATTAGTATTAGCAGTAGTATTGTTACTACTACTACTACTACTACTACTACTACTACTACTACTACTACTACTACTAGTATTCATATTGTTTATATTAATAGTATTAGTGCTATTATTAGTGGTATGATTAGTAGTAGTAGTATTGTTGTTATTGGCATTGTCATTCTTACTGTTATTATTAGTAGTAGTATGAGTATGATTATTACTAGTACTATTAGTATTACCATGAGTGGTAACAGTAGTATTAGTAGTATTAGTAGTATTAATATTTTAGTCATTAGTAATGTTGTTACTAGTATTATTGGTATTCTGATTAATATTAGTAGTAGTAGTAGTACTAGTACTAGTACTAGTACTAGTAGTAGTAGTAGTAGTAGTAGTAGTATCAGTATTACTATTGTGATTAGTAGCAGGAGTGGTAGCATTAGGAGTATTAGTATTATCCTTCGTATTATTAGTAGTATGTGTATTTTTCTTCTTATTCTTAATATTATTCGTCTCATATTTGTTTGCTGTATTATTATCATATATTCTGATGATCCTTAGCACTCGTATTATGATTATTCATATCATGTGTATGATTAGTAGCATTCAGACTAGCATCATGACTGTTCTTAATATAACGTGTGCGATTATCATTATTATGGTTCTGCTTAGTATTATTCTTGATAT